GGGTCATGATGGACTATAAATGCACGTGTAAAAGACGTCACCTACTGGACGTTTCACAACTGAATCACAACAGGGTGTATATTGAACTACACGTAGCTAAAAGTCAAAGTAACAATTATACATGCAACCCCAGAGAACTATAGACATGTACAAACGTATCTGAATGCATTTTTAGGAAATGTTCTGTGCTACATATTTTTTACATATTTATGTAGTCCTACCGCGACTATTTTTGGCCAGGGACACGACGTTGCCGTCGGACCAATGTTTGCTGGGTTATGACAGTATTTTACATTTTAAAATGCTCATAATCAGATTCGTTACATTTTTATGGATTACATGATATTCATGATTACGTATTATTCACACAATTAAGGGCTGTAAATAATCATTTATTGATTCTCCCTAAGTCTTTTTTCTTTTTTTCCTTTCTAAAAATCCTACTGTGTCGTGCCATTTAGCTTTAACTATATTCACAAATGTCGTTTAAATAAATTTGCAAACCAATAGTAATTGGTTTAATAATTATGCAAGTCATTAAACACTGGTTATAGCTGTGAAATATTATGTCGTCATCATATCCAGTGACCTTCAGTAACTGTTGATCCTGGAAGTCTGGACAAAAATATTTCAAACCTGGCGATTAATGTCATTGTTGTTTTCATGTTTAATAATGTTTGTTCATACACACACATATATATATATATATACTGTATATATGTGTGTGTGTGCAGGGGGCGTAGCAGACGGGGGGGACATGTGTGTCCCCCGCCCTTTGTTTGACCCACCTCCGATATTTCCGCCCGTGTTCTCTGATTTGTTTATTTAGGTTTGAGTGAACTAACATTCAGCCAATCACAAGGCAAATTATCTCTTGGGCGCGACTGTCATGAGCTTCAAATCTTCTGTTGCTCTCGCGATTTCACTTTGCTCTTTGGGCGGTTTGGGGGTAAAATGCACCCCAGAAAAAAGCAGATGATTACGTCCTTTTTCAAACACCGTAAGTATGTGTTATGTCACGATGACTCAAATCACGCGATCGAATTGCTACGTTATGATTTGATCTAACAAGGCATAGGCCTACACCGAATGCGAGTGATGCGACAAAAGAACCAGTTAAGAATGAGGCATATGACCTCGCACTGGATCCAGTGTGTGTTATATCCTCTCCTACTTGTAAGTCGCTGGATAAAAGCGTCTGCTAAATTAGTAAATTTAAATATGAATAGCATAACTTATTATTGTGTTCTTTTGTCGCGTCGCGCCACTCGCCATCCACTGCAGTGTTGCGTTGCATGCGTGGTGATGGCCATACAGCTTCCAAACCTCTGCAAATCTTTTTCTTAAGAGTGGTTCTGAGCACGTATCAAACTGAAACCACAGTCAATTAATCGATAAAACAGTAAAGCAACATAACATTTACCACAGTGGTACTTGGGGAGATGTAGAACAAGAATTTGCAGAAAATAAAATATTTTTAAATTAATTTTTAATATTCAATTAAGCTGTATGGCCATCACTACCACGCAACGCCATGTAGACGCGCAATGAATTTTCAAGCGTAGATGGCGTGACCGCACTTTTCAACTGGTATTCTATATAGAATTTATGTGAACATGAATGTACTTTGTACATTATTATGTACATCATTTGTTTGGCCGTTGAGGGTCACATCACCTGACAGCTGTCCCCACACCACACACACACTTTGAAAATGGCTGCTACGCCTCTGTATGTGTGTGTATGTATGCATAAGTTTGCAAGTGTGCGAACCTGCAACCTCACGCCCAAAAGTATTCTGCTTTAACCAGCTACATTAATTGGCTGTTTGGCTTCGCTTGCTTTTGAAAGGGTCATTTATATTATCATGTTCATATATATGATCAGAATCAGTTTTATTGCCAGGTATGTTTACACATACGAGGAATTTGTTTTCGTGACAGAAGCTTCCACAGTGTAACAGAATGACAGTAACAGAACAAAAAAAACACAGATAAAAAAAAATAAAAAAAATAGAAGTTGAAAAATAAGGAATAAAAAATATACAAATCGACAATTGTATGTACAGGTATAGAACAATAAACAACTGCGGAGCACGCCACGGAGGCAGCCATCAGCGTCGGCACCATCGCCATCCATTATACAGTTAACAAAAGCAAAAAAGACCTCTAACACTAGCTTGCTCTATTCTTTTTCTATTC